TTTGGTTGCACTGTCAAAAGGAATATCCAAGCGTAACCGAAAAAGCGGTACAATTTTTAACGTCTTTTGTCAACATTTATACCTGTGACACTGTGTTATCAGCCCCCGTGTACTTAAAAAATAAGTATTGAAACAGATTTGAACGTCGAACCTAATTTGAGAATAAAATTAACATCATTAATTCCAAATTTAAAATTACTATGTGATGAAAAACATCACCATCCTTCGCACTAAGGTCAAAATATGTAAAACAAAATTTACTTTATTTACTTTAAGTTTTAAATGAAGATAATGGATTGTCTTTAATTACTTACATTTTTTGTTATATAATTATTTTGTAATTTTTTTGTATGAAATAAACAAACAAATAACTTGAATTTTGATTTTTATTAAAAAATAAAATTTCTTTTGTAAATAAATGTTTTTTTTTATAAGGTGGGTCGTGAAAAAATTAAAAATCTCATACCAGGCCGCGGTCAAAAAAGTTTGGGAAACGCTGTGATATATGCTGTCTATTAAATAGTGGCAATAACATTTAACTTGTGTGATGAAGGCTATTCATAATTTTGTGTATGATAATGTTTTATATATGATATAATTTTATGTGTTTTATGCTTGTATCCACAAAATATATAATCTCAGAAAGCAATTAATATTAATATTTATTTTGTTTAAACATGATGTAGTGAATTTCAAGGAATCTAAATTGAGTGTTCTGAGTTTTCATGCACAAGTTAAAATGTTTTAAAACTGATTATCATTTTTATTACCATCTTTATTTTTTTACTCTGAAAATTCGAGTGTTATTATAACTCTTCTGTTTAAATTAAAGGTGTGTTTTATCTCATGCAATTTTATAAATAAATATTGTATATTTCTGAATGTAAGCCGATCCAGATATAATCTGAGAGCAAAGATTTTGCCACAGAAATTCAGCAAATATTAAAAGCCCTCATATAAGCCAAATTTAAAATTGTTATATATGTCAAGTTGATAGGTTTAGCTAAGCTATCACCAAAAGTCCTTTGACTCAACTAGACCTGTTGCATGAGCTCAGCTCAGTGCAATGTCCTCAGCTTGGGGGGGGGCAATTGCATAGCTAGGATTCTTGCACCCGGGGACAACTGAAGAATTTGCACCCCTTTCTGTGTGCCAAGAATGGAAAACATTTCATTAAAAAATTTTGTAGCATCAATTTGGCGCCGCCTGGATGCTGTGCCCGGGGATAGATGTTCCCCTTGCCCCATCCTAGCTACGCCACTGGGGGGTGGTTAGTATCATCTTTTTACATCAGCACATTTGTGAATGGAGCTGAAAATGTTATCTAAGAGGTGGATGACAATGATGTTAATGGTGACCTTAGGACTCTGGAATATGATGATATTCATGCAGACTCACTTATTAAAAGGAAGAAAATTCTGAATTCTAGTAAAATTTCATGCTTTTTGTTTTACTGGTAGGAATTATGTTTTTGAGAAATTATTTTTTATATTCTGGTTATTCTTGTGTTTTTGAAACGAGATCTCGTGTGCTATTAAAAACACATTACCACTCTTGCAGTATTCAGGAGGGTTCTTCATGGTGACTTAATACTAGAACCACTGCAGTTTCGATATACCTAAAACCGCGGGCTGGGTCAAATTGACCCCAAATAATAAAAACTTGTGTTATGCTAAAAGTACACTGTAATTATTTGGCAATGACATTTATTCATTGTTAACATTAAATTGTTATAATTAATAAGTGATAAAAATAATAAGATATTACAATATGGAATATTGTATACAGTTAGTAAAATATACAGACAACTTTAATAGAAATGTTTAGTTTCTTACCAGTCAAGATTTACTCCACTGTTCATGCACATTTTGGGCAACTTCTTTTTATATATTTTGTACACTTTCCACATATCAATATTTTACAGTCAGAACAAGTATCTACAGTTTTGTTTCTACATTTGAAAGCTTGGCAATGAACCCTTTTTTACATCTGCGCAGATTCTTCAGTAGTATCTGCTTTTGTCTGGGTATCTGACTTGTAGTTTCTTTTTTGAATATATGCACTATGCAACTCTTCAATGAGTCGTTGAAGATATTCTCTCCTTGTAAGTTTCCCCCCCCCAGTAACTTCTTTGTATAAAATCCATGAATTAATTCTTGCAAAATCAAGTATATTGTAGAATACATGAACTGGCCACCTCCTTGATCCTGCCTTCACAGAATATTTCCGAGCCATTTGGTGGGCAACGTCGACACCAAATTTTGTTGAGTTATAAAATGATATTGTTTCTGGAAGCTTTTTTAGGTGATTATTGTCGATATCAACAGTGGGATGAAGGAAGCTCAATAATAAGACATTTTTGCTGGTTTTTCCCTGATAAACTGTCAAAGTTATATCATTATGCTCCAGTAACAATGTATCGTACAATGGCATTATTACTTTTTTCACAAATTCAGGTACTTCTTTCCGATTTTGTTTCATCGTTCCAGTTAAACTAGTGATCTTCATTTTTAACATTTGAGACAGATTTAGTATAGTGAAAAAATTATCTGTAATGATATTTCTTCCTTTATTTTTGAAAGGTTCTATCAAACGCAAAACGACGTATTCAGACAAAGGTAGGTTTTAAGGACGTTCCTCATCTTTATCCAAATATGGAAAACCATTGAGCACGTATTTACTTTTAACATCAGCGGCAAGCCAGAACTCGATACCAAATTTATCTGGTTTACTTGGCATATATTGCGTGAAACGACATCTGGCTTTAGACGGAAATGGCTGTTCATCAATAATTATATATGTCCTAGTTTATAGCAAGTTATCGAATTTTCAATAAATTTTTCCAAACTTCAGAAATGAAACAGAATTTATTCGTTTCAGAAGGCGTTCAGATCGTGTAGTTTTTTGTTGAATCGCAGAAATTTCATAAGTTCTCTGAATCAATCTCTTGCCATAATATCGTGGAAAAAAGGTGGACCCCAAACAACAGATCACAGGCTATCAAGCTCTAGATTATTTGCACTGTAGATACCTTGAGCATACTAAATTGATATAAAAGCATCTAGTTCGTCTAAAATTGTTGACCATTAATTTTTTCCCAGTTGCCGGTGAGCTTCTTCCTCCGTACAATTCTTGATATGGCGAAGCCATAGGCTCATCTATAAAGTAGCCTCCATAAACAAATTGCATAGCCATTTTCAATATTTCGCTTTGCATAACTGGTAACTGGTTGGATCACTCTTTTCTTTGAAAACATTATGTTCAGCAATTCTTCCACACATACAACTTCCAGAGGTTGTGCTGTGATGTTTTTCCAACACGTTCCATCATTTGTAACAAAAGTTCCAGAGTTCATTTCATCTGGATATGAATGTGATAACTTTTTATGTTTATTTGCACATTGTTTTCTCTCCTTGTACATTGTACAGGAAAATTAGATATGGTATATTTTCATTCAAGGAAATATTTTCTTCGTCTGGAGGCACATATTCATTATCACTGAAAAAAATATTTTCATCATTATCATTTTCGGATTCATTTTCCGATAATTGTCGCATATAGAGGGTCTCACTAACTGTTAATTTACGCATATTTCTTCTAACCATTTTCACCTAAGATCGATTTTATTTCCGCATGTAAACAAGGTGGCAAAAATCGAACAGACTGGTACACTCAAACTATCTCCAAAGCAATGCGAACAACCAGTTGTGCAGTCATAAAGAACCAGATGTGTGCCTGTTAGACTACTGCATTGGTTATGGTAGTATTGCACCACATTCCATTCAATAGGCCAAAACAAAAAACATCAGAGAGAAACATTCCTTGAATATACTAACCAGAGGCATTCCCCATACGGAATGATAACGGGAGGGGAGGGTGTCTGCAACACTGGCTGCTACTATGACTACAAAATTCTCAGTTGCTCTTATGTTATCAGTAACAATCTACTGACCTTGAAGTGTTGTTCTGGGAAATGGAAAGAGGACTGAAAAAGCTTTTCCCATTCCAGGAAACCTTGAATTGCAAATTTAGTACTTATGATTATAATGGTGTCAAAATGATCCTTTCCGCAGTTTTAAATATTAAAAATAACAAAAAAATTATAAGTATTTAACGTATCATATTTTCACAAATTATTATTGTTATAAAAATGGGAAAAGTCAAGAAATTTTTTTCAATTCCGTTTGTAACTTTTTGAGAAAATCGAAAACGAAACTGCTTTGGGGTCAAAATGATCCAATCCGCAGTTCTAGTGTTAAAATATACTGATTATCAACTCAGGGATTATAAATTCCTATGTGCTCTTAGTTACCAACTAGTTTAATGGACTTTGATCTTCTTGTGGTGATGCATAGTTGTTTTTTCATCTGGCTGTTTAGCTCTTGGTCACCTATTAGTCACAAGACAAAAAAATGCAGCAGAGCGTTAAAGAAAAAGGAAGGAGAGAAAAAATAATAGTTAGTCATCTTTTAGCACTTAGTCCTGGCACTTCTAAGCAAAATATAACCATGCTTGCTCTTTCTTATATTACAGCATGGTTATCATTTTCCTGCTAAAAATTTGCAGAATTGTTACGTAGGTGCCATGCCAAAGCCACAACAATTTAATTACACTTCTTCAGTAATGAACTAACAAGTAGGCACAAACTGTGGTAATAAAGCAATAAATGTGGCTTTTAATCGATCTTTTAATGGAGTTCCATTGATACCATGCTGTAAGAGAAATTTATGGAGCTCTCCTCAGCTGATATGGATGTCTATAAAATGGGTTAATTTTTTAATAGTGAAATTATTTCATTTTTAGGTCTTCATAATAGAATAGATCTGATATTGGGGAAGGGGGATGAAGTCAAATTTCTTTGCTGTAACTGAAAGTTAATTAGTATTCTAAAGCACAGAAATTGCATCCTGTATTCTTCACAAATTATTATTTCAGTTATAATTTGAATGTTTTTATGTTTGCGTGATCTGTATGAATGTATGGGTGACATTTTATTTCAGTGGTTGGCAATAAGTGTGACCTTCCAATGAGAATGGTAGATATGATAGGTGCTGCAGAAGTTGCCAAAAACTATGGCATTCCCTTCATAGAAACATCTGCTAAAACAAGGATGGGTGTTGATGATGCATTTTATACTTTAGTTCGAGAAATTCGCAAAGATGTAAGTATATCTATAATTATTTGATTTGAAACTGGAGCAAAATATCATTTAAGGGAAAGTATTTTCAAATGTTATTGTTAGATTATTCAATGCATGATAAGTCTCTCAGTGTAACAAACTATATCTTGATAAGACTGAATAATATTTCATATTCAATAATATGTATATTTAAAGATACATACTTTTAACTATTGTCTGTTGTAATAGGTGTCGGACAAAAATAATTATAAAATATGTGGAATTGCAAACTACTGTTTTGAAATGATTTCTTCCCTTTAATCAATTTTATTAAAAGTATTAAAGGGAAGATGTCCAGAAATTTTAATTTTTATTTTCGATTTCACTTTTTCCTCTGGGGGAATTCATAGTAATCTTTTTTTCCCTTCACCATAGGAATGTTGATTTTTAACAAATTGGAAATGACCTAATCTAGATTAAGACTTAAACTCTTTTTATTTTTAAATTTTGACATGAAAACCCGTGCTTCGGGGAAGCAGTATTAGTGCTGTAAACGAATATATTTTTTCCAAAATAAATTAATGCAAATATTGAAAACAAAATCTTCCAATTGCTGCTTTGTATAGAATAAGAAAATAGTTAGAAACTTGATTTTAAAATTGTGCTTCCTGAAAAAAATGGAAAATATACTGGATTGTCAGAATTCATTAAAACATTGAATAATGGTTCTGACTATTTCTAAAATAATTCCAGCATTATTTTTTTACATATACATTATATGTACAAGTATCATGTAAATTTTACTACATCATTTGGCTATTAACTCAAGATTTCTAAAGAATCCATTGATGTATCAAAAATGCTACATTCAGAATGAGTTATTTGGTACTCTACTTAATTTGGCTTTAATATTTCAAGTTTTCCAAAAGTCCAGTAACTTAAAGGAACTACAATTCTGGTCTCAACTAAGTTTGCCAGTTTGGCATCATCAGTCTTACTTGAGTAAAAGATGAAACACCTTCGCATTTATTAATTATTGCTCATTGAACCAGAGTTAGTTTGTTCCCCTTGAAAAGTCAACTAATTTCCGATCAGTGACAATAATTACTTGTTTATTAATTTTCTTTTTCAGAGTTTGAATTTCTATTTTTCATGATTTAATTCAAGTAACTTAAAAAAAAAATTTCGGAATTATTTTTCATGATTTAAATTCAAGTCCACTTGAAAATTCTTTCATGATTTACATTAAAATCCTTTAAAAGAAATCCTTTTTAGAATTAAATTTCATATTTCTGGATTACCTAATTTTTATACATTCTACTAAATTTATATTAGGAGATAATATAATCAACATTTCTTTATTAAATAAATTATTATCTTTGCAGCTATTACACAAGTATTAGAAATTTTTTTCCCCGATTTCAATGAATTTCAGTTCATTCAATATATATATATATATATTATATATTCAATGAATTTCAGTTCATTCAATATATATATATATATATATATATAGATATATATATATATATATATGTAATAACACTGCGTTATTGTGATAAGATATGTGTGGAATTTACCAAGTCATCTTTCTAGTGTCAACTTTCTAACTGTGTAGTTACTCTCCTATGCCAATCCATTGCAACTTTCCACCAAGTCATCTTATGACAATAATAATACAGTCTAGCACACACATATTCTCTCTCTCTCTCTCTCTCACACACACACACACACACACACACACAGAGAGAGAGAGAGAGAGAGAGATTTAAAGAGTAATTTTAACCTGCCTGTGAATATAATCAGTGGCATATATGTAGGATGATGCATAATTTAATATTATTTGAATGAATATTTACAAATTTTGCTGCCATTCTTTATAATTCAATTTTGTTGTTCTTTACATAAAAAAAGGTATTCTTAACATTTTATCATTTCATGCAATTCATGGAAACATGTTTACGTTGTTTTAAAAGTAATATCTGGCAAATGGTTGAATTGCTTACCAAGTATTGGCTTTCAGCTGTTATAAACCTATGCTTATCCTTTTAATTAGCTTCAGAGGAAAGAATCTGCATCCATTTAATCACTTAAAATTTGAGAATCTGAAGGTTTTTCCAAACATTAAAGAAATACCAGACAAAAAAATTGAAACAAATTAAAAATTAAAAAAGTTATCTACTTTTAAATTATCATTCTATATTTACCACTCTTTACAGCACAAAAATAAGTGCTGTCTGTTTGTCAGTAGTTCTTTACTTAATGCTTTTTAAAAGTAAATGATATACTATAAGGTATTTCTCCCGCCTTCCTAGTGTGCCTTCGTGGTTTAGGGATTCTGCACGCTGGGCCGAAACTCCAGAGGTCTGTGGTTAGATTCCTGGCGAAGCGTTTGCTATGTTTTCATCTTGTCTGCTTCCAAAACATACCTAATTTCTCTTCAGTGGTGCTCGAACTAAAAAGGATGTTGGATGATGATTCTCCTCACCCAGGATTTGCCGATTGGGTCCTCTAAAAACCCCAGTTGCCCTTTAAAAGGGGGAGTATATAAGGTATTTCTCCCGCTTTTCTAGCGTGCCTTCATGGTGTAGTGGTTCTGCACGCTAGGCCGGTGTTCCAGAGGTCCATAGTTCGATTCCCGTTGAAGGTGATTGCTCATTTTTCAATCATCTTGCCTGCTTCCAAAAAATACCTAATGTCTCTACAATACTTTCTAAGATAATTTTAAAAGGATGTCATATTTAATGATTTCTTGGTTTTGGCCATAAAGGCATCAGGTTTGCAAAAATCAGTCAAACAAACAAACCTTCATCTGGAATTTGAATCCAGGTCTATTGGTGTAATAATTGCTGCCATTGATATATTCAGAGCAAAATGAATAATCTCTGTGTCTTCAGCAGCTTTCTTTTTGAAATCAAAATGTAAAAAGGAATTCAATGCCTTAAATGATATTCTATTTATGATGATCTGTTATGTTGGTTTGGAAGCATTATGGTTTAATACAGTACAAAGTCCGAAATTAGGACTCATCAGGACTTGGGTGATTCCGAATTTGAGATTGTTCCGAATATTAGACCATCAGTTTAAATCTAGTAAGATAGCATATATAAATTATAAAATAAAATATATGAAATCGGGATTTATGAAATAATGAAGTATTTATAATCTAAAGGGTATCAAAATTTACAAAAAAAAAAAAAAAAAAAAAGCTTCATATTTATTTGTTTACCTTATTAAGCATTTCTTTCAATGTAAGTTATTTAAGTTGCTTCGTTTTTTTTGTGCTAATACTGTAGAGATATTAGGCATTTTTTGGAAGCAGGCAAGATGAAAAATTAGCAACGCCTTTGACGGGAATCCAGCCACAGGCCTCTAGAATACCGGCTCAACGTGCAGGCCACCACACCACAAAGGCATGCGAAGAAGGTGGGAGAAATACCTTATATACTTCCCCTTTTAAAGGGAAACGGGTTTTTAGGGGACCCAATTGCCAAATTTTGGGTGAGGAGAATCATCATCCAACACCCTTTTAGATCAGACGCCACTGTAGAGACATTAGGTATTTTTTGGAAGCAGGCAAGATGAAAAATTAGCAAAGCCTTCACCGGGAATTGAACCACACACCTCTGGAATGCCCGCCCAGTGTGCAGACCACCACACCACGAAGGCATGTAAAGAAGACAGGAGAAATACCTTATAATACTTTCTCTTCAGTTCTGTAGACAGACATAATCTCTTGTTGAGTTACATTGTTGATGTCCTGTAACTGCCGTTTCGAGAATTCCAACTAACTTGTGAATCGAAATTTTCTCATTTTCTGTAACTTCTCTGTCACTTTTTTCACTATTGGTATCTAGAACCATACTACAGATTTTGCCATTCATTAATTGATTGCTGATTAATGATTGAGAAGCATTGTCATCACAATGAAAAACATCTTTTACATCATCTTCATTTATTACCGCTTCTCCACATTTCTTTACAAAATTCGTTAATTGGAAATTTTCACTTTTGTTTTGCGATATCCGAAAACCTTCAAAATTAGTAGCTGTCATCATCAAATTTAACTATCCTTCACTGTACATATTTGGCTATGCATCATGAGCTTGGCGACTAATGACAAGTTGTTCCGTTAAATTTTAATCCTGTTAAACATAAATTAATCATGCTTCTATCGCACACTGAGACGATTAAGCCTGAATTGTATTAGTTTAGTTATTTATTATACTTATGTATATTTCTTGCATATGCTTAAGGCTTATCAGAGTTCTGAATAAATAAATTCCCACTTATACTTAAAGCCTTATTGAGGGCCAGTACTAGCTATCTTACCGCCTGATGCAGTCTCTGTGGGTCTTCAATTCTGTGACTCAGTGTGGCTATGCAAGCACTGGCGCTGGTTCTGGGTTTTTGTGAATAACCAATTAGTTATTCTTAATTCAAATACACCTAAACATTTTTTAGTGCATTTAACTTAAATCTGTAATCATCGCCAAGCATACTGTCAACATAAAAGGTTACCATACTCCTTTATTATTCAATTACTAACATAAAAAAATTGTTTAGGCATTGCTACATGAGTCATTACTCAAGTTGTCATGTTTTGATAAACATGCGATGATGAAAGGGAAAGTATAATAAACAATGATTCACCAGGTTGGCATCAGATAAACAATGCATCTATGTGGAATATTTTGGTCTGAGATATGTGCCAAAAGCAGATACGCAGCAGCGGAGCCAAATTACTTATTGTATAAATTTATGATAAAATGATTGTTTCTTCAATAACAAGGTATTTTATTTAATGTTGAAGTGAAATTAAGAATCGGGACTCTCCAGATGTTTTATTATGCGCGGAGGGGGAATCAAATGCGCATGCGTAAAGCCTATGAGAAAAAATGTGGCTGGTGGTTTTGAGTTCCAGATTTTATATCATTCTGGATATTGGACATCCGGATTTTGGACTTTCAACACATCCACCCTGCCATCAAAGGTAGAGGGATCCATGTCAAAATCCAACATCAGCAATCGCACTCCAAACAACACGCTTCCTCTGTGATTACACAACTGTTTACTGATGGATCAAAACATGATCAGGGAGTGGGCTGCGCGTTTGCTCACTACGAACATGGCACACTAGTAAAGGAATGGAAAGGACATCTCACTAACAGCAATACTATCTTCCAAGCAGAGGCACTAGCAATATTGAATGCGCTACAACATGCCCTCAACCTTTCCCTTACCAATGCGACTTTCTTCACGGACAGCATGTCGGTGCTACACGCACTCAGGGATCATCACCACACTTCACCCATCATCATAGATATACAGCAACTTTAACGCAATAATCATCAAGCCCGCTTTAACATGGTATGGGTGAAAGGACACTCCGACAACGAAGGGAGTGACGTCGCAGACCGACTGGCTAATGAGGCTGCCAACAACATCCACGCTCAAACTATAAGAGCCCCTACCCCCATCTCACACCTCAAGAAAACTCTGCGTAATATCTGTAAAGAAAAGTGGCAAGAAGAATGGAATAGTGGCGACACAGGGAGAAGGACGTATAACTTGCTAACAAAGGTAGACACGGAACGTCTTATAACAATAGCCCCACTGACACAGTACATAACGGGTCATGGCCCATTTCCATCTTATTTTATGCGCCATGGCATCTCAACATCTGACAATTGTGTCTGTGGCATGCTAGGTTCTCCCGAGCACTACTTATTTGACTGCAGTCTAACCACTTACCACATCCAACGAATGATAGAACACTTTACTATCGTTTCATAATCAAACACCCGCCAGCTATAAGGAGTATCTGCGCAGTTGTACAGCAAATCAACGCCCTAGGGCAAGACATTTGCGAGCCACAATAGCATGGTACTGCAGACAATGTACTCAACGATTAGGTATTCGCAGTATGTACACATTCTGTAAGTGCCACTTTCAATTTCGAGCCTCATGTAATCATCTGCTTTCAATAGCCAGCAATGTGCAGAAATAATGTTACTGACATGTTTATCTGTGTAAAGCACTGGGCACCCAATGAAATGATGTGTTATCGTAAATCGAAATATATAATATCCGTACAATGCACGAATGTAGTGTATGCAACGAAATATGTAAATCATGCAACAGAAGCCCCTAATGAAAGTATGTACATTATGTATTATGGATACTGAGCATATTTCCACACAGCGCTTCTGCTTTACGCACACCTTACTATGTCTCATATGTTTCTTCTGTGTGCAATATTTGCATTTATGTGCTCTACGTGTTTCCATATGTATTCTATGTGTCATGATATGTATTTTCGTGTGTGTTTTTATGTCTTTATGTTACGTAATTACGAGGTGTTTTTTATGCTTTTACGTTTAATTTTGTATATCTATGTGTTTCAGCTTATATGTGTGTTTTAGTGTTTTAATGCTATCCTTTATATTCTTTTTAAATTACTTTGTGTTATTAACAATGTCCTATGTAAAATCTACTTGACATCTAGCCCCTGTATGGCCATGTAAACTCCCGGTGCAGCCTTACGGGACTCCAGCGAGTTGCTTCTTCGAGATAGTAGAGGACGTGGGACATATGCCTGTTTACCTATGTTATACGCCAGGCATCCCCGTCCTCCATCACCTGTCACCTGTACTTGTAAACTTCAAAAAAGGCTTGAAAATATATTTAATTTTGAAGGGGATAAATATAAAAGCATCAATGTAATTTATGTATCGGATGTTTTTGGTTTTAGTATTGATATTTTGATTGTTAATACACTTCAGAATGATGATTTGGTAATCAAAATATTGTGAAGCAATTTGTTATATTTGAAACTAAGCAGTAAAGCAACCTTAGATTGGCATAGATTTTTTTAAAAATTTGTTTTAAATACAAGCGCACACACACACACACACACACAAAAAAAAAAAAAAAAAATAACCCTAATATTCCTCTATTGTGCTCTTATATTTCTAGCGTGAACGCAAAGGGAAGGATAAGAAGAAGCACAAGCGTAAAGATAGGAAGAGACGATGTGTTATATTGTAATGTAAGTAAATCATGCAAATTTTTACCAAAATTTTCAAATTTTAATTTAATAGCAGACTTTGTATAATATTTTTAAAAATATTTTAATTTAATTTAGCCACAAATATGTAAATAAATAGGTTCAAAGTGACATGACATTTACTTTTTAATATGCAAGTCATCATTGAATTTTCGTCAGTTATATAGGTCATTGTGCATGAAGGTAAATCAGCAAGTTTTAAGCCTAATATAATGTAGTAGAATGATGAAATGTGGTAAAATGATTGCTTTATCCTTTAGAAGTATATTAAAGGTTTAATTGTGGTGTTAGTGTTGACAATATCAAATATTGTTCATTGATTTAGTTCCTTTATTAAAGTAGGCATAATGTTGGTGATTTTATGAGTGCAGTTTTAGAGTCTGTGGTGTTACAACATCTTCGTATACCAAATGGGGAGTTTTTTGGAAAATGAGGAAAATGAATTATTCCAATACTACATGCAATTAAATTATGGACATAATTATGATTATAGATATTCCTTAGTTGATCATTTTCCTTATTATTCAGCAATGAACAATGTTCATGAACAGAGTGAATGGATATTACTTATTTTTTAGTTCATGAAACATCGATTTTTAACTTCAGTGAGCCAAAATCTTGTGCATTTTCTTGCAAGAGAGCCATTTCATGATAAAAACGCTCTTTTCTTCATTGTGAATACCTGAAACACAGTAAGAAAGATCAGGACAAATTTATTTATTAGTCTTTAAAATCATAAACCATATAACTAAAATCATATCATATGACTATTGAACAGATGAAACTTCATGAATGCCTATGTATATAATATTATAAAGACTTATAAATTAATACCATAATATATTAATAGAGCCTGTATGAAAGTTATTATGAAATATAATTATAGCTGCAGGTTTCTTTTCTTTTTAATAAACAGCAAAGTGTTAGCCGAGGTTTCCAAGCCTTGTTACTTATGTGTACATGGTAGAGCATACAGAATAATCAGTTGCTGGCACAGGTCTAAATGTGAGTGAAGCAAACAGTTGATGTATCTGGAACAGTGTATACATGCCAAAATGCTGATATTCCATAGTGATCAATACTTGATGAAATATCATTGGATCAATTAATTTTCAAATTATTATATGACTCATACTCTTTAAGGTTTTCATGCAAAGCTTTCTGAAAATAAGTGAAGTCTTTCACATTAAAATTAATACATAAAAACGAGTAAAAATGTGTAGTTTATGAAATGTAAAATTTTGTGAATAAGCTTTGTTAGCTAGTTTTTTAACATCAAACTAATGCAGGTCCATTAAAAACACTTTTATTCTAAAGCAGATCAGATTATGCCATATAATTATGCAAAGTCCATTTATTATATGATGGGCTGATGCAACACTTCTAAGAAAGAAATTTTACATAGCACAATAGCCTGAAAATTGTCTCTACCAGAAGTAACACACATTCTAGAACATACACTTAAAAATGTTGATATAATTAGAAAAATGTAAATTTACAGTAGTAAAGTAACGAAGTAATGTGTTCTGACTTCTCTAAAATGCATACAACCTAAAGCTGTAGAAAATTCAGGTATTTTAACTTAGCATTCCCATAATGCAACAAGCTTCAGCAAAGAACCACTTCATCTGCTCTAAAATTTGTTACGATGAGAAGTAGTGACATCACAGGAATTTTCAAACTGTGCAGTTAGGCTTGAAGTAAAGTCAGTGTTGGTCTGGGTCAAACAATGTTGAATTCATGACTTGACCATTTGACTGAGTTAACAAGCTCGTATTTTGCTTTGACCCTGGAATTATGTCGGCAGCTTTCTGGGCAAGGTCTGGAATTTCCTTGTGATGGAATTTCCTATGACAGATAGTTGTGTCATATTCATATATGTTGGAAATGTTCTATGGCTTTAACTATTGCAAGAAACTCTTTCCTTGTGATACAGTAATCCTTCTTTAGTTTAGATAACACTTGCTATTATGTGCTATGACACATTCTTGATAATTTATTTCTTGGGACAAAACTGCATGGACGCTCTCACTGTTTGCATCTTTGTAAGAATAAATGGTTTATCGAGCTAACGCCACATCAAGATTATTGCAGATGTTGCTTCCTTCAGTTTGTTAAATGCATCCTTACATTCTTTTGCCCACAAGAACTTTTACTTGCACTCTATTCATCTTTTGAAGGAGGTCTTCTGATGGAAGAAGAGTCCTTCACAAATATCCCATAGTAGGTGTAAAGCCCCAGGAAACTTCTTAGCTAATTGACATTTTCGGGACACATCCCATTTTAACTGCTGACACTTTTTCTGTATCCATACACACACCTTCAGCAGAAATGGCACGTCCAAGGTAAGTCACTTCTTGTCTGAATAATTTACATTTGGGACTTAAATTTAGATTGGCTTCTTTCAGTTTCTGAAGCACCTTTCTAACACTTTCTACATGTTCTTCAAAACTGTTCCTGGTAATGATGATGTCATCCAGGTATATCAGGCAGGTTAATCAAGCTTTGAAAACCATTTGCTTTCAGAAACGGTGTCCAGTGTATCATCAGTTCCAAGAATAAGGTAGCTGTCTTTCTTCGTAACCTCATTCAGATGACAATAGTCAGTGCAGAATCTAAAGAAGCATCTTTCTTTCTGATCAGGATGATGGGAGAGGCCAAGGACTTGAAGGCTCGATAACAATGCTATCTTGAACGACCTCTAGAAGTTTTCCTAGCTGTTCCTGTTTAGCAATCGGTAGATGTATTGGATGTTGCTTGATGGGTGGATGATTCCCTGTATCACTTCTGTGCTGTGTCAACTGGTTCCTCGTACGTCAGACGATGAGTGGAAGATAACATCTTGGAAATTCTTGAATGACATGTTTGGCAGCAGTCCTATCTTTATCGTTTAGTTGTGCATTCTGCAATAATTCCCGATATTAAGGTCTCCAAATACACAGACTTGGAGGACTAATTTGTTTAAGATTGATAGCAGATTTAGTTGTAGAATTGACTGCTGTAATAAATTGTGTGTGCTCAGCATATTTACTAGAAGTTACTGGTGTAGTTGAAGTAGTTTGATGCATTTTGGAATTTTTTCATGATGTTTTCCAAACAAATAGAAAAAAACTTCGACGGGTAAAAGGGTATTAATAATGCAATTTTTATTATGCAAACAGAATACTTAACTCTTGTTTACAATATATTGTTAAAGGGGGGATTTTTTTTTTTTTTCAAACAGGGATGATTCTAGATTTCAATGTAAGTTATTTTGAGCCATTTTCTGTCAATATAACACACTTCACCTTTACTAATGACTTTTGCCTTATCACTTATATTGGCAACTCTTATCAGGATAACAGCCTTCAGTAGATCAATGAATGCCAAGGGTACTAGTACTCCTTTTGGATTGTTACTGTTCTTGGGATATTCCATGACGCCGTATTGGAAATTTTTATTTTCAGCTATGGATCTAGGAAATAAAAATTCTGTCTTTCTGGTACTGTGATATCATCTTGAGTTAGTATATGATAGACAGATTTAAGCCCTTCATCTTTAATTCCAAACATTCTTATATCCTTAGTGGCAGATTGCAGTTTATTTTTAAGGAAAAATTATTTTTCCTTATAAAGTCTAATCTAAATATGCAAGGATCAGTAATATTTGCTATATATGTTGTATTATGGTAGGCAGCACATCTAAATGATGTTAACGCTGAACTTTTCATCGGTGTTGATTTTATCCCATGATGCCGCCTGGAGGATAATGCAGGGCATCGTCCAGAGGAGTTCATCTTCCAGTTGTTGAGTCAAATCTTTTTGAATGATGGTAACATTGGCTATACTGTCATATTGCAAGGAACTCCATTGATGCGTCTCATGAAAAGTCCATTACTGCCACCAATCATTGCAGAGATCTTAAGCACTTTAAAATGGGGCTTCTCATTATCTTTTGAACTCTGCTTTGTGAGGTGTCCAATAATTTGTTTTGCTCGTCCTTGCTAGGAAATGGACTTTTTTCCTATGGTGTGGTGTGTTTTGAAGTTCCTTCATACATGGGGTTCAATACCACAGTTCCAGCACATTATGGTCAGTTTCTTGTAACTACAGTCAAAAGTCTTTAATCCAGACTCGTCTGGACTTCGGCGATTCCAGATTATCGGCTTTTCCGGATTATAGATCATCGGTTTAAATCTGGTAAGATGGCATGCAGAAATTATAAAATTAAAAATATGAAACCGTAATTTATGAAATAAAGAGCCATTATGATCTAAAGTGTATCAAAATTTACAAAAAAAAATTAATATTTGTTTACTTTATTAAACATTTCTTTTAACGCGCGCATGCGTAAAGCATACATTACGCATAGTCGAAATTAGAAAATTGCAACCAGAAAACTATTTGATGTGTATTCATGATATTTATAATGACAAGGAATTTGATTTAAATCATATCAAAGACGGAGTACATCGAGATGAAATACTACATTTAGTAAGGAATTATAAGCCGAATAAAATAAAAACATCTGCCCTGAAGATAAGAATAGTGCTGACAGATCAACTTCCAGTTCATTGCATCCCCCCTGCAGAGCAGCGTGAAATTGATAAACAGATTTCGGAATGGTTAGAGAAACAAAGGATATGCCTTTATCCATATTTTGCAGCAATTCCACTTTTTGTTTGATGGACATCAAAACATGCTTTTGCTTAGAAAATCCTTTGGCAGCTCCAGAATCAGAAATTCTTTTTGACATAATCGAAAGTTCAAGCTTGGTTTTATAAAATTGCTCTAACAGTCTGCAAAAAATAATAAGCCATCCAATTACAAGATTAAGGAACAACACAGTCTGCAACATTAACTAAAATAGATAATTTTAGCTTAGCTTATACCGTTCATTATACATTAAATGTGCATACGTAAAAGTATTATGCACATGTGTAAACGCATATGCCCAGAAAGTTTGTGGCTTTGAGGTCTGGATTATAGATCATTCTGGATTAT